TTTTGTTTATAAATTAACCATCGAGTAGGAAGAATTAGCCTCGTCGAAACAATGTATCGCTTTTTCTTTATAATTTAACCATCGAGCAGAAGGAATTAGCCCTGCCAAAAGTACACCTCGCATAATTTTTGTATCCCGTTAAGACGTTATCGTTATCGTTTGCGTCTTGCCAGACCTAACGAAGTCAAAAAATGGCGGGGTGCTCGGTTAATTTTATTTACGTCCCCGTATAAACGTATCCGTCGTAAGGACGGTTTTACGAGCGATAAGGACTATCCGCGGGGTTGCCCATGACCGGCATGATAAAAAACGCTCGAAATACGGGGCATTATTTATCAGCGTCCACTTAGAGAAACGGAATGACGGCTGACATTTTTATCGCAATGGACGTTCTGGCAGATCGGATACTTTGTAGATGGCCCGACGTCGAATGGCGAAACTGGTTTTATACTCGGGAATAGGTTCTCTTCCCGTAGCGTTTGGAGAAATGTCAGAGGTGCGCGTAAATTGCCGAGCGTACAACACTTTAACGATTTCCTCGGTGAAAGCGGACAACAAACGCGGACCCGATTTAATTGCACGCGAATTTTCACGCGTACCGCGGCCATTATGGAGAATTTTCGACGGAAGTTGCAGCAAATTCTATGTGGAGATGATTTTAGCGCCACTATCGGTGATTTAAAGCGACTTTGGAGGGTATTATACACGCAGAATTATACGACACTAATACTGAATTTGCTGATGCAACATTTCTTTATATTGCACGCGAATTTTCGGGTGTTTTGGCAATGGATTGCATTTTCTGGAGCAACATTTTATACATTGCACGCGAATTTTCACGCGTACGGCGGCCTTTATGGAGAATTTCGACGGAAGTTGCAGCAAATTCTATGTGGAGATGGTTTTAGCGCCCCTATCGGTGATTTAAAGCGACTTTGGAGGTTATTATACACGCAGAATTATACGACACTAATACTATTGCACGCGAATTTTCGGGTGTTTTGGCAATGGATTGCATTTTCTGGAGCAACATTACATATATTGAACGCGAATTTTCGGGTTTTTTGGCAATGGATTGCATTTTCTGGAGCAACATTTCATATATTGCACGCGAATTTTCGTGTTTTTCGACAATTTGCATTTGCCGAAGCAACATTTTATGTATTACACGCGAATTTTCGCGTCTTTTGGCAAATTATATTTGCTGAAGCGACATTTTATGTAATGACTCATTTAATTGCACGCTAATTTTCACGCGTACGGCGGCCATATTGGAGGATTTCGACGGAAGTTGCAGCAAATTCTACATGGAAATCGTTTTAGCGCCCCTATCGGAGGTTCAAGGCAGCGTTTCGACTTTGAGTCGCCGGACATCTAGCCTTTGAGTGTGTCTAAAATAGAGTTCATAGATATCTATATACATCTTACATACGTTCAATAGACATTTATATACGATTAATTTACTGATATTCCACGTTCCGCGGTTCCTGGGTATTTAGAAAAATTTTGTACGGACCTCGTGCGACATCTAGCCTTTGACTGGACCTACAATAGAATTCATAGATATCTATATACATCTTACATACGTTCAATAAACATTTATATACGATTAATTTACGGATATTCCACGTTCAGCTGTGCCTGGGTATTTAGAAAAATGTTGTACGGACCTCATGCGACATCTAGCCTTTGACTGGACCTACAATAGAGCTCATAGATATTTATATACATCTTACATACGTTCAATAAACATTTACATACGATTAATTTACGGATATTCCACGTTCCGCGGTTCCTGGGTATTTAGAAAAATGTTGTACGGACCTCGTGCGACATCTAGCCTTTGACTGGACCTACAATAGAGTTCATACATATCTATATACATCTTACATACGTTCAATAGACATTTATATACGATTAATTTACGGATATTCCACGTTCAGCTGTGCCTGGGTTGTAGGACGATCAGCAGATTTCGGAACACGCTCGCAGGTGTATCCTCCGCGACGCGTGTCAAAGCGTTTCCAGCCCGACGCCGACGACCAGTCGTACAAGACATCGTATCGCGACTCTTTTTTTATCAAATAAAAGGATGATTAACCGTCCAAGTCCGTTGATTTACGAATGCTCCATGCTGTATATCTCGCACTCAATACCGCGACGAGATTTATTCCCATTCGATACGGCTGCACCATCCCCGTTACCCCAAGAATCTTTATAGAACCTTCTGTTCTTTCCAAGTTGAAAAACTGGTTCCGTGATCGGCCAACTTTTCTGCCATCATCGGGCCATATGATCAGGGGCCAAGGAACTACCGAAATCGTGGACGAGCGACCACATTCGATGCTTAGGGCAAAGGACGGATAGATGCCAGGTTTTCCATTCGCATGACAACAGTCTGTGTAGTTTTATTATTTCTACCACTTCTCTCTTGGGACAAATGTGTTCAGGGGCAGTTTTTGGAGGAAGATCCATTAGGAGATGGGTCTTAGAAGGTAGAACCATTAGGGGGGTCCATGCGTGGGACCATCATCCTATGTGTGGCGTTTGATTGCAACGTATGTACGTAGCTGGACATACGCACCATCACCAGCACATGGAGCTAGATTCATGCACGAGAGTATCGTTTAACTCACTACCCCTTTCATAAGAGGGTGCAAAGTCCCTGAGGAGAAGACGTGGTGTGCGTTCAAGTGCCATTGGCAGGGTGGGTGTTCGTTCGCGGGTCGAAAGAATCGAAGAAGATCCTAAGATTCTAACCAGGGTGTCTCCTGCATTGTGTAGGATGTAGGTAAATCCTGGTAAACATCCTGCAGATGTAGGTAAACCCTGCGAAAGGAAGGCACTAATGTAAAAAATTATACAATTGTACTAAAACGACGACCTTAGAAGATAGAACCATTAGGGGGGTCCATGCGTGGGACCATCATCCTATGTGTGGCGTTTGATTGCAACGTATGTACGTAGCTGGACGTGCGCACCATCACCAGCACATGGAGCTAGATTCATGGGTGCACGAGAGTATCGTTGGACTCACTACCCCTTTCATAAGATGGTGCAAAGTCCCTGAGTAAAACACGTGGTGTGCGTTCAAGCGCCATTGGTAGCGTGGGTGTTCGTTTGCCGGTCGAAGAAGATACGAAGATTCCAGTCAGGGTGTCTCCTGCACCATGTAGGTGAAACCCTGCGAAAGGAAGGCACTAATGTAAGAAATTATACAATTGTACAAAGCGACAACCCTAGAATATAGATCCATTAGGGGGGTCCTTGCGCCCATCATCCTTGGGACCATCATCCTATGTGTGGCGTTTGATTACAACGTACGCACGTAGCTGGACATACGCACCATCACCAGCACATGAAGCTAGATTCATGGACGCACGAGAGTATAGTTGAACTCACTACCCCATTCTAAGAGTGTGCAAAGTCCCTGAGTAAAACACGTGGTGTGCGTTCAAGCGCCATTGGTAGCGTGGGTGTTCGTTTGCCGGTCGAAGAAGATACGAAGAATTCCAGTCAGGGTGTCTCCTGCATCATGTAGGTGAAACCCTGCGAAAGGAAGGCACAAAGCGACAACCCTAGAATATAGATCCATTAGGGGGGTCCTTGCGCCCATCATCCTTGGGACCATCATCCTATGTGTGGCGTTTGATTGCAACGTGTGCACGTAGCTGGACATACGCACCATCACCAGCACATGGAGCTAGATTCATGGACGCACGAGAGTATCGTTGAACTCACTACCCCTTTCATAAGAGTGTGCAAAGACCCTGAGTAGAAGTCATGGTGTGCGTTCTGGCGCCATTGGCAGCGTGGGTGTTCGTTCGCTGGCCGAAAGATTCGAAGACGCGTTATTAACACCGGTGACCCTGCGTCTATGATTACACGCATTAATAGCCCGACGGACCGAGGGACTTTGTTCACGCTGCGCACTGTTATTATTTCAATGAAGAGACCCGGGGAGGAGAAAAAGAATTCCCATAAGGCCCGCCGGCGCGGTATGGTCCGAGCGGTGCAGAGACAAACGACCCGCGGGACGGAACACCGCTGCGAGATCTGCAGATTAATGCACCGGACCCTTAACTTACGGACAGCCGGTAACCCTGACTTTCGAAACGTCATCGCGGACCGCACGCTACCAGCGATTTTCGTCCCTGTACTTGGTAACTTTTATCAACCCGCGGTAATTTGGGAAGAAAGTCCTAGATAGTAGCTAGGCTCCAGCTAGGAAATCTGCGTTAGGAGTACACTTAGTGGCACGGAGAAAATAGGACACTGTGAACCCTTTTAGTGCTGAACAGCGGTATATCATTGGCAACTTTGATCAACTTGCAGTAATTTGGATAAAAGTCCTAGATAGTAGCTAGGCTCCAGCTAGGAAATCTACGTTGGGAGTACACTTAGTGGCACGGAGAAAAATAGGACATTGTTAACCCTTTTAGTGCTGAACAATGATATATCGTTGGCAACTTTGATCAACTTGCAGTAATTTGGAAAGAAAGTCCTAGATAGTAGCTAGGCATTAGGTAGGAAACCTACGTTAGGAATACACTTTGTGGCATGGAGAAAAATAGGACCTTTGTTAACCCTTTTAGTGCTGACCAACGATAAATCGTTGGCAATTTGGATCAAGCGACGGTAATTTGGAAAGAAAATTCTAGACAGTATCTAGGCTCCAGCTAGGACTTGTACGTCAAGATTACAATTAGCAACACATTGTTAATCCTTTTAGTGCCTAACAACGGTGTATCGTTGGCAACTTTGATCAACTTGCAGTAATTTGGAAAGAAGGTCCTAGATAGTAGCTAGGCGTTAGCTGGGAAATCTACGTTAGGAATACACTTAATGCCATGGAGAAAATAGGACATTATTAACTCTTTTAGTGCTGACCAACGATATATCGTTGGCAATTTGGATCAAGCGACGGTAATTTGGAAAAAAATTCTAGATAGTATCTAGGCTCCAGGTAGGACTTGTACGTCATGAGTACAATTAGCGACATGGAGAAAGAGAACATTGCTAATCCTTTTAGTACTGAACAACGGTGTATCGTTGACAACTCTGATCAACTTGCAGTAATTTGGATTACGGATATTCCACGTTCGGCGGTGCCAAGGCCCTTGTGTGGTGTTCTCTTCCCTTTCGGGCAAAATCCAGAGGCGAGTATGAAACCCCTCCAGCAGGCCGAGTGGTTTTTGAACAATGGAGAACATTTGCAGGAAGGAAATCGCTGGATCAGGACGTCCAGAGCGAACGACTTGTCCAGAAAGGAGCAATATCCTGACGAGTGTAAACGTTTAGTGGACATACGTCCACTATTCCACGTTCGGCAGTGCCAAGGCCCTTGTGTGGTGTTCTCTTCCGTTTCGGGAAAAATCCAGAGGCGAGTATGAAACCCCTCCAGCAGGCCGAGTGGTTTTTGAACAATGGAGAACATTTGCAGGAGGGAAATCGCTGGATCAGGACGTCCAGAGCCAACGACTTGGCCTGAAAGGAGCAATATCCTGACGAATGTAAACGTTTAGTGGTCATACGTTCACTAAACGTTTATATACGCTTAATTTACGGATATTCCACGTTCGGCGGTGCCAGGGCCCTTGTGTGGTGTTCTCTTCCCTTTCGGGCAAAATCCAGAGGCGAGTATGAAACCCCTCCAGCAGGCCGAGTGGTTTTTGAACAATGGAGAACATTTGCAGGAAGGAAATCGCTGGATCAGGACGTCCAGAGCGAACGACTTGTCCAGAAAGGAGCAATATCCTGACGAGTGTAAACGTTTAGTGGACATACGTCCACTATTCCACGTTCGGCAGTGCCAAGGCCCTTGTGTGGTGTTCTCTTCCGTTTCGGGAAAAATCCAGAGGCGAGTATGAAACCCCTCCAGCAGGCCGAGTGGTTTTTGAACAATGGAGAACATTTGCAGGAGGGAAATCGCTGGATCTGGACGTCCAGAGCCAACGACTTGGCCAGAAAGGAGCAATATCCTGACGGGTGTAAACGTTTAGTGGTCATACGTTCACTAAACGTTTATATACGCTTAATATACGGATATTCCACGTTCGGCGGTGCCAGGGCCCTTGTGTGGTGTTCTCTTCCCTTTCGGGAAAAATCCAGAGGCGAGTATGAAACCCCTCCAGCAAGCCGAGTGGTTTTTGAACAATGGAGAACATTTGCAGGAGGGAAATCGCTGGATCAGGACGTCCAGAGCCAACAACTTGGCCAGAAAGGAGCAATATCCTGACGGATATAAACGTTTATATAGTGGTCATACGTTCACTAAACGTTTATATACGCTTAATTTACGGATATTCCACGTTCGGCGGTGCCAGGGCCCTTGTGTGGTGTTCTCTTCCCTTTCGGGCAAAATCCAGAGGCGAGTATGAAACCCCTCCAGCAGGCCGAGTGGTTTTTGAACAATGGAGGACATTTGCAGGAGGGAAATCGCTGGATCTGGACGTCCAGAGCCAACGACTTGTCCAGAAAGGAGCAATATCCTGACGGGTTCTAGGAACTAGCCCAGGGCGGGTTGAATTAAAGTAAGACGATGGTTTGGTACGTCATTACGCGCGCATGCGTAAAGACGTAGGTGCGTCGTGTGGATGGTTACCAGCATCTCGGATATACCCGGAGGTTAGGGTATCCACATTATGGTTGGGTGAATCGAGGCGCTTCGACGTGGGCTCGACGCACCGCCCCCTCCTCCTACGATCTTATTCTTTTTATGGTAATAATACTCTTGCGTATACGCTAACGCCGGGATTATTTGATCGCGAAGTTACAGATTAGCAATGCAGACGGGCCGACCTCTCGGGTGGCTACGCATGTAGCTACCCAACCATCTACTGGCATCTGCCGCCCATGTAGGCGAGACCTTCTGCACGGAACTAACGACTCCCGTGTGAGGTTCCTTCTATAAGTAAAGGGGAATTAAGGTGAAGTGAAATCCCCTTCCAATCGGTCGATTCGAATACAACACTTTTTTTTAAGGGTATTGGACCAAACTGTCCGAAACTTTGACACACCACTCCTGATCATCTAAGAATTGTCCTGACACATTGAAAATTTGGACTTTGAGACAATCTTGTGAAGTTCATTCTATAAGTAAAGGGGAATTAAGGTGAAGTGAAACCCCCTCAAATCAGTCGATTCGAATACAACACTTTTTTTTAAGGGTATTGGACCAAACTGTCCGAAACTTNTGTCCAATCTAAGAAAAATCAGAGGAAACATAAAATCCTATTGTGACAATTCTTAGATGATCACAAGACATGTGTCAAAGTTTCGGACAGGTCCAACACCCTTAAAACAATGTGTGTAATTCCAATCGACTTATTTGAGGGGAGGTTTCACTTCACCTTAATGTCCAATCTAAGAAAAATCAGAGGAAACATAAAATCCTATTGTGACAATTCTTAGATGATCACAAGACATGTGTCAAAGTTTCGGACAGGTCCAATGTCCTTAAAAAAATGTGTGTTATTGGACATAAATGTGTGTTCTGGTCTGGGCTAAGTAAAAACATTTATTTTAAATCCAGATTTTGATTGTGTCAGGACAATTCTTAGATGATCAGGAGTGATGTGTCAAAGTTTCGGACAGTTTGGTCTAATACCCTTAAAAAAAAGTGTTGTATTCGAATCGACTGATTTGAAGGATGTTTCACTTCACCTTAGGAGGGGGTTTCACTTCACCTTAATTACCAATCTAAGAAAAATGAGAGGAAACATTAAATCCTATTGCGTCCTAGTCGCTTCCTCCTTTCCTCCAGGGTACCATTTATACGTATTTCGAAATCAATGCAGGAGGCCGGAAAGGATTGAACCATCCTGTAATTTTGATGGAAGTTAGAACACGTACGGATGTCGTAAAAATACGGCCCCGTTTAACTAAGGAGCAATGGTAATGTATCGGTACACTGGGAGGCAATTTCAGCTTGGATGAACCACCACGTCCCTTTCTGATCACCATTTATTACCCTCGGCTTCGTGCTTATATGCGCACAGTTTGCACGCTATGTATCCGAACAAAGTCTGATCCATGCTATCAAGAAGTACGGATACACGATTCACCGAGACTCCCGGAAACGCAGCATCCATTAAATGTCCATTTTGAGAGTGGGGATGGTACCCAGTCTTGGCATTATTGCAAGTGCAACTGATGATGACCGATGTTTCCTGGTACAGGGAACTCGAGTATTCCTAATTCTTGGGTACGAGCAGACCTTAATGTTGATATAAATTCACTTGATGTTGCCTGAACCATCGTTCTATCTTACAGAGAGATACACACAATTGTGTGGTTTTTTCCAGGCAACTCATGAAGTGGAATATACGCAAATTAATCGTCTATCATTCACCTAAAAATATATCTAAAGGATTCCTAACTCGTATTCCTAATTGTTAGGTACGCGCAGACCTTAAAGTTAATACAAATTCATTTGATGTTGCCTGAACCATCGTTCTTTCTTATAGAGTTACACACAATTGTGTGGTTCTTCCCGGGTAACCCATGAAGTGGAATATATGCAAATTAATCGTCTATCATCTGTCTAAAAAATATCTTAAGGATTCCGAACTCGTATTCCGAATTGTTAGGTACGAGCAGACCTTAATGTTGATATAAATTCACTTGATGTTGCCTGAACCATCGTTCTTTCTTATAGAGTTACACACAATTGTGTGGTTCTTTCCAGGCAACTCATAAAGTGGAATACACGCAAATTAATCGACTAAATTAGGTATAAAGGTATAGCAAACGTATATCGTCCATCATCCCCCTTAAAAAAGTATCTAAAGGATTCCTACCTCGTATTCCTAATTCTTGGGTACGGGCAGACCTTAATGTTAATACAAAATTAACTTGATGTTGCTTGAGCCATCGTGCTTTCTTACAGAGAGTTACACACAATTGTGTGGTTCTTTCCAGGCAACCCATGAAGTGGAATATACGCAAATTAATCGTCTAAATTACGTAGAGCAAACGTTTACTTCCAGCTAGACGTCACAGATGGCGACGTTGGTTCGTCAAAATCTAAATCTACATCGCTCTTTCATACCACCTTAAGCAAAGGCATCGCAGGTTCCACTGCTTCGCAGATAGAGGACAGCACAAAGCAGCAAGTTTTCCATGTTTTCGCTTCTTGGAGGCTTAGAATAAAAAATGAAGAGTTTTAGGACCTAGCTCGAACAATTTGGAAAACCGTAGAAGTGGTCAGACAGTAAACTGTGATAAATGCCTTCACCAACATTTGCTCAAGAACGCTGGTTAGTCCTGTGGCTAACCCGTGTTTTTAGGGCAAACGTTTAGTTCCAGCTGAACGTCACAGATGGCGGCAGTTCAAATCTGCATCGCACTTTCATACCACCTTAAGCAAAGGCATCGCAGGTTCCACTGCTTCGCAGATAGAGGACCCAGAGGGCAGCACAAAGCTTAGCAAGCGAGTCAGATCCACGTTACCACTGGCCATGAATAATATCGTTTCGCGGAGATGTCGAGGAAGCATCATCCATCAATAGTCGAGCGTTGAAGGGGCGTTATGTTCCATGTCCATGCCGAGGTCCATTATAATATTCGAAATATTATGCGCGCTATGCGCGGCGAAAGTGGCACATGAACACGAGGGCGGTGTTGCGCGTGTACAAATCATGCGAAGAATGACGCGGCATTGCCTGCCTCGCTGCCCGGCTGCGACGGACGATGTTGTACCTCCTCTGGCTCTTCTACAGGCTTAACTCTCAGGCCGGGCCACGGGGTCCCTATCCTGCAAGCTCCGCCGTTCGCCACGGCTTTGGATCTGCTCGTTGCATATTAACTACGACGTCCTGCACTCGTGATCAGCATACCGCAAGTCACTCGCTCGTTTGCCTCCGATGGCTCGACCTAAACTGTATTAAGGGGATGTGAAAGTGCCATCTTAGGGTCGTTGTTCATGACACTTTTCTCCGGATTGGGTGTTCCTATTTCTTTCAAATTTTAACACGTGAATAAGGGGACCCTAAGGTAGGTCCTGAAACGCGGGAAATTTCATTTGTCATTAAAATTGTTGATAATAGGTATAAACAAATTATCTTAGAATTGATATTTTGTGGGTTTCAGCACCTTCGTTATAGCTTCCATATTCACATTGTAAAGTTTGAAACGATATGGTGCACTCAGTTTGGAAAAAAGTTACATAAATGAGACACAATCACCTTAAGGGGATGTGAAAGTAGCATCTTAGGGTGGATCGTTCATGACACTTTTCTCCGGATTGGGTGTATCTATTTCTTTCAAATTTTACCACGTGAATATGAAGACCCTAAGGTAGGTCCTGAAACTCGCAAAATTTCATTTGTAATTAAAATTGTTGAAAATAGGTATAAACAAATTATCTTAACCCTTAACGCTCCAAGTGTGCCTCTCAAGCACCACCGATGTGCGATGTTTCTTTGAAAACGGACGCCGTTACTCACAACCCTGCTGGTTATTTTGTGTGTCCGCTCGGTGTGAAACAAAGCACTTTATCTACGCAAAATGTTCATAATAGTTGGTTGAATTATTTAGGGATGTCTGCCATTTTCATAGGGATATTTCTTCGGTTTCCCTGCAATCGTCGTTAGTCAAACGTTGAAAGTCCCCTGTCGCGGATCTTTGTTGTGTGTCGTTGTGTGTTGTTGTGTGTCGTAGGGAACGGCTGTTCCGTGTGTACAGAAATGCAGACAACATTTATTAACACTTTGCCGTCCGCACGATTCGTAAATATTTATTCGCTTGGCGCCGGCAGCGCTAATTCGGATCACTTGACTTGTCGCCGGCCGTTTTTGACGTTATCGAGACCACTGTGGTGTCGCCGGCCGTTGGCCAAAAGTTTGCGCACATCACCACTGTGGTGTCACCGGCCGTTGACCGCTAGTTTGCGCACGTCACCACTGTGGTGTCGCCGGACGGCATAGTGTTAATACAACTGTCACGGCGAAGAACAGGTAACAACGTCTACATCTTCTGTTCCAGCAGACGTCGGACCTGGACACCTTGCTGTGTAGACAGGAGTTGGACAGGCTGCAGCGACTAGACGAGGATGACGCGGATAAGGACCCCAGGGAAGCGTCCAGCCACATGGAGGACTTCTTCGAGGTGGCGGCGGCTTGCCGGCCCCAGGCAAGCTTCGTCTCCTCGAGGAGTCAACCTGCCGGGAACGACGACGACGTCTTCCTCAGGCCACCCCTCTGGGAGGACATCACCTCCAGCATCCAGAAGCTGGACCCTGAGAACGCCGACATGTTGGGCTCCCAATCCCACATCAAGATGGAGACCGAGGACCCCACGTCCCCGGTCCTCTCTCCCGTGGAGATCAAGACCGAACCCTTGCCTCCATCCCCCACGTTGCACCTCCTCGAAGGACCTACCTCCAAACCCATCCAAAGCTTCGCCAACAGGTCCGCACCCCAACCCGTTGTCCATCACAGGACCAACGCGTTCAAGACCTTCTCCCCAAACCACAACGGGAGCAATAGCAACCCTAGTGGGAACGGGAACGGCAATGGGGCCGGCAACAACAATGGCTCTCCGACGAACCATCACCCAGCCAATCAGCAGGCGACTGGCAATGCCACGTCTCCGCTTTATGGCTCGATGACCAGGCTGATGTACGTCTCGCCATTGACACCTCCCATTTCCGATCCAGGGTCTCCACTTGGCGGACCCCCGCGAAGAACCCCTCCTCCACCCTACCCACAACCACCCATCCTCAATCCACCACACAGGATTCAGGCCCCAACCATCACCAAGTTCAACAGGCGGAACAATCCCGAGCTGGAGAAGCGGCGGGTGCATCATTGTGATTTTATAGGTGAGTTCATGAATTTATAGACCCATCCTGGAAATGGGTATCAGTGTTATCAGTGTAGAGCATGGGGGATTCCACTCAAGAACTAAGTGGCCTAATTATTAAGGGGATATGAAGGGCGCTGAGGAATTCAATCGACGTCGGGAGAACAAAATTCATATACGTCACCTTTTTAGTGGGAACGCCATTTTGAATACTTAAGGGTAACTTAAGGTGAAGTGAAACCCTCTTCAAAGCAGTCGATTCGAATACAACACTTTTTTTTAAGGGTGTTGGTCCAAACTGTTCGAAACTTTGACACATCACTCCTGATCATCTAAGAATTGTCCTGATACATTCAAAATGTAGATTTTTTATAAAAATTTGTCGACTCAGCCGAGTCCATGACCAAAATGGCGTCGAGCTCTCATATTTCGATCAATATACAAATATCGAAGGATCTGATATGAGAATCGAAAGGGTCAGGACAATTTTACGACAATTTGGAACACTCTGGTAATCGATAAACTCGCATTTTAACGGGATAAAGGCAATAAAAGTGTCTTATGCGCTTCTATGTCAAAACGATGGGAATACGAGGTCTCGGAGTGAAAATTTAATTCCCCTGGAAATCACAGATGGCGCAGGGGGTCCCTCTGCAGTAAATTAGGGCCTCAGAAACAATGAATCCAGGGGATTTCTGGAGATTAGTCTCGATTCCTTTATAATTATTGTACAGAAACAACATATCGAGTACGCCATTTTGTACAATAAAAATGTCAAGACAATTGTACTACAATTTAAAACACTCTGGTAATCGAGAAACTCGCATTTGAACGGGATAAAGGCAATAAAAGTGTCTTATGCGCTTTTATGTCAAAACGATGGGAATACGAGGTCTCGGAGTGAAAATTTAATTCACCTGGAAATCATAGATGGCGCAGGAGGTCCCTCTGCAGTCAATTAGGGCCTCAGAAACCATGAATCCAGAGGATTTCTGAATTTTTACTTCTATTTCTTTATAATTATTGCATGAAAACAACATATGGAGTACACCGTTTACTACAATAAAAATGTCAGGACACTTGTACGACAATTTAAAACACTCTGGTAATCGATAAACTCGTATTTGAACGGGATAAAGCCTAAAAAAAGTGCCTTATGCGCTTCTACGCTAAAAGAATGGGAATACGAGATATCGTAGTGAAAATTTAATTGGCCTGGAAATCACAGATGGCGCAGGAGGTCCCTCTGCAGTCAATTAGGGCCTCAGAAACCACGAATCCAGAGGATTTTTGAAGTTCTACTTCGATTTCTTTATAATTATTGCACGAAAACAACATATGGAGTACGCCATTTTGTACAATAAAAATGTCAAGACAATTGTACTACAATTTAAAACACTCTGGTAATCGAGAAACTCGCATTTGAACGGGATAAAGGCAATAAATGTGTCTTATGCGCTTTTATGTCAAAACGATGGGAATACGAGGTCTCGGAGTGAAAATTTAATTGGCCTGGAAATCACAGATGGCGCAGGAGGTCCCTCTGCAGTCAATTAGGGCCTCAGAAACCATGAATCCAGAGGATTTCTGAATTTTTACTTCGATTTCTTTATAATTATTGCACGAAAACAACATATGGTGTACACCATTTAGTAAAATACCCAATATAATTCGACACAGCACTCAATATAGAAACCAACATCGACAACATAGGCATTTAGAAAAATCTTCTTTACCGACGTCGATCAAGTTCCTCGACGTGTTTCACTTCACCTTAACGTGCGGAAATTCCGCGATAACCTCAAAGCTGGGAAATTTGTCGGCACAGAGTCACGGTTCTTGGTCGTGGACTCAATTTAATCGACGAATTGCTATTAACATACTAGTTGCGCCGGTATGTAGGAATGTTGCTGAAACGGTCTCAATAAAACCATTCCGCTCTGCCATACCATCAATTGCAGAGGCCATTTGAATTCCAGATTTCATGTATAAATCTGGATAATTCATCGATTCAGAGTCTTGGTATTTCAGTTGAAGCTTAAGTACGCCTGTAAGCGATTCCATTAACACCCCGAGAATTAGACTCGTGATAGTTCTACGCGTTTCGAAGCCATTAGTAATTTCACGCGCATGGCATTTTCGCTTTTAATTAAGTACTCGGTGGTAGAGGTTCGTGGAAATGAAAGATTCTTACGGGGAATTACTTCTCACGTGTCCGAATAACAAATGCGCACCAGTTTTCCCTGTGTTAAGGTTGTGGGAAAGTGGGATATATACATGCTGAAAAGTGAAAATATTTATAACACTTTTCTCATAACTGGGTACACCGAATTATCTGAAACTTTAACACGTGATTAATATTTTGCAAAAAATATTTTTTTGGTCATTGTCCGAGATGAATACAACGTTTTTTCCGGAAAATTAAGTTTCACGGGCAGCGCGCTCTTTCTTGGAGCCTCCATAATTACGTATTAAAGTTTTAGATTATTTAGTGCATCCAGTTTGGAGAAAAGCTTCATAAATATATTTATTTTTTCGTACGGATATATCCCACTTTCATATCACCTTAAGGTGAAGTGAAGCTCCTGGAATCACACGACTCGAAAAGACACTTTTTTTTAAGGCCCAAAATGGCTGCACCCTGTTTGGAGAAGAGTTTTATAATTATTTTGACTTTTTCGTACGTATATGTCACACTTTCATATCACCTTAAGGTGAAGTAAAACCCCTGAAATCACATGACTCGAAAAGACACTTTTTTTTAAGGCCCAAAATGGGTGCACCCTGTTTGGAGAAAAGTTTTATAAATATTTTGACTTTTTCGTACGTATATATCACACTTTTATATCACCTTAAGGTGTCAGTTCAGTTGGTAATAGTAGGAAGTTCCAGCATCCTCTTCATACAGAAAGTCAGAAAACGTCAAACAATGTGACATAGATAGGAAGTTCCAGCATCCTCTTCAGACAGAAAGTCAGAAAACGTCAAAAAATAGGACGTAGGTAACCATGCCATCGATCCGTCATTTTAAAGAAGCGTTTTTAGTATTTCGAGAAAAATGTCCTTTTATCGTGAAGTTTTATGTCATCTTTCAGTTAGAAATAGTAGGAAGTTCCAGCATCCTCTTCATACAGAACGTCGAAAAACGTCAAACAATGTAACTTAGATAGGAAGTTCCAGCATCCTCTTTAGACAGAAAGTCAGAAAACGTCAAACAATGTGAGTTAGATAGGAAGTTTCAGGATCCTCTTCAGACAGAAAGTCAGAAAACGTCAAACAATATGAGTTAGATAGGAAGTTCCAGCATCCTCTTCAGACAGAAAGTCAGAAAACGTCAAACAATGTGACTTAGATAGGAAGTTCCAGCACCCTCTTCATACAGAAAGTCAAAAAACGTCAAACAATATGACTTAGATAACCATTCCATGGATCCGTCATTTTGGAAAAGCATTTTTGATTTTGTTGAGAAAAAGTGCCATTTATCCCAAAGTCCTAACTCATCTTTCAATCGGAAATGGTAGGAAGTTTCAGCATCCTCTTTACATAGAAAGTCAAGAAACATAGAAACAATGTACCATAAGATACATCACGCGTCACAGAAAAACGCCGAATCGATTCTCCTGAAAAGCTTTGGGCATAACGGGCAGTGCTGATAGCGGGAATCTCTCACCATAGGTTCCCTCAACCCTTTCCGTTCATGTGCATCTGATAAGGACACCTGTAGTTCCCCGCTGATCATCTCGAGTGGCGCTTCGGCAGGGTAGAGGTGTTGCGGAGGTTCCGCATCAGCACATCGCGAGTGAACTTTCCTGCTTTCGTAATCCCGACTCCTAGAAAATCTCAATTCGCCTCCCAGATCGGTTATTACTATCAGCAAGCACGCCACGTAGAACGGGCAGTTTAATAATCCGCAACCGCCGCCATTACTCCCGAGTAATTGGCAATAGGTCTAATCGGCGGTAAATCAGCCGCGCCAGAGACATCCCATCATTCACAGAAACAATTTCCATTGCAGGTTGTACAAAGGTCTACACGAAGAGCTCGCACCTGAAGGCACATCAGCGGATACACACAGGTAAGTGGGCGCACGCCCTGCCAAACCTGTTACACACGTTGTTCTAATCCTAGACCTAATCTAACGGGCGCATGAGATGTGTGCCGCTAATAATTAGGTATGTAGTCCACCTCGAGGAGAGAAAGAGGCGCTTAGTCGAGGAGAAATGCAGAACCGAGAGGTGGAAAGTGCGCCCGGACTCTGAGAGAATCTCTTGTGTGGGCTGGGCGTGGTTCCCTACATCTCGTGTGTGGAATTGTGTGTGGAGGCCCCTGCAAGCGGGAACCTCCAAACGAGGTGCATGCACGTGCCTTCGACGAGTGCCTGGACGTACGTGCACGCACCTTACCACTTGATTTCTTCCTTCTTGAAGTACTTGCACGCAGGCATGCGTCCAGCCACATACGAGAGGCGACCCACATCTTGCTGGTGATCTGGTACCGCAGGGTGCAACTCGATTCGAAGCATTTGAAATGGGACCGATCGTTTGTGTGGAATAGTTTTAGGTTCTGGCTGGAA